TGACTGTCAAACTGTCATGCAAATTATATATTATGCACAAACTTATGAGGGAAAGATTAAGGATTGAGTTATCAGGCCCATGTAGGATTGCCTAAAAAATAAACTAAAAAGGAAATCCTGATTAGCAACGGACAGGCCCAAGTCGGGAATTCCAGATTAGGGTATGCCTTACTTTTTCCCGATCAAGTTCAAGTCGGGGATTCCCTACTAGAGCATACCTTATTAATCCCCGGTCAGGGCCTGACCCTACATCAGGCATGCCCGATCAAATTTCTGCTCGGGAAGCTGTAAACTTGTTCTCAAATCTAGAAACATATATTCGAATATTTTGAATCCGTTTTATTGGATCTGAATGTAAATTATAATAGTTTAATTGAGAAACAATTTTGAACAGTTTAGGTTAACCGCAAAGATCATTTAAAGGATTATTCATACAAAAATTGATTTTAGATAAAAATTATTCAATATCAAAACCATCGACATCTACGGTTAGTAAAAAACGCTGTTTATCGATGGAAAATTTTCTCCTATTCATAGATAAGTGTTTTACTGATTTTCGTATTGTAAAACAAAACAAACCTGGGAAAACGTCGATGAGCAGAGCGTGAGTATAAAGAATTGTTATATTAACATATGTTTATTTGCATTCCGACGTGCCTCCAATGGCGATTTTGGAGACATGACTTTTCGTGTCTTTCGTGGCTTGAACAACTTTATTATTTCGCGGAGAACATATTCTATGAGCCCACGTACATAAAAATAATGTTTCAAAACAGATACACTTATTATTTTGAAGAAAATTAACGTAATTAATTAAAATGAATTATAATAAACGTCGTTTACAAAAGTCATATTCAGATCGACATATTCGGAGACTAATAAAGCAGAATATGGCAGCATCAATAGAAAAAATAATTAGAATGTCTTCATGGACAGACATTTAATAATGATGAAGGAACATCTTCAATGACTTATTCACGAGTGACAAAATAATGATTCTGCTAGCATAATTGTTTCTAATGCAGATTTTGATGATTTTACTTATACCTATAGTGACAATGGCTCTTCATGCAGTGAAAGCGATACCTTAAGTATTGCAAGTGAAGATGACTTAGCTCTAAGTGCGGAAGTCGCTAATAGTATTGAAACAGTACATCAATCTGTGAACTAATTTGAATCAGAATATAATCTACATAATAACGATGATGAAATTTTTAAACGGAACATACAAAATTGGGCATTAAAATTTTCAATTAAACATAATGCGCTGAATGAATTACTATCAATTTTGAGAAAAAAATACTAATGTGTCATTTCCTGCAGATGCTCGAACATTGCTCGATACGCCAAAATCTACCAAAGTATTTGAAATTGCAGGGGGGAAGTATTATCATTACGGATTGAAAAATTCTATTTAAATATCATTAAAATCGTCTT